CACAAATATCCTTATTATCTTCAATAAATTGATCAAAGATTTCTTGTTGAGATATTTCTAAGGGTCTAACATGTATAACTTCTTTAATGTTCCATTCATTATTTTCAACGTCTTCCTTTTCAGTTTGAGCTAAAAAGATAGCAGGATTATTTTTCCAAGGATTAGCGAATAATTCTGTTTCATTAAAATCAAAAGACTCTTCATTCTCATCAGAAGTGTTTTCTTCACTATGAAGGAAGAAAATATCCCTTTCATCAAGATATTCATCTTCATATTAATCATTATTTGTTAAATCTTCAATTACATCGATAAGTTCATCTATTGAAGTATCAGAATCTTCTTCTAATTCAAATGATGAATTATCATAGTAAGTAATTGGTACAGATGCAGCTTTAGTAAGATATTTAAATCTTAATTTTCCTTCATCAAAATTGAGAACTGCTTTAGTACATTTGAACCAATCTGTTCCTAGTAATAGATTTTCATCAGGGGATTCAATTACTTGTAAAGTAATAGGTATTCTAATAGGTCCAATAATAATCTTGACAGTATTAATCTTTTCCAATGCTCTTGCTCTTTTTCTATTAGCAGTATTAATAATGATTTTTGATGGTTCGTCGATTTTTAATTTAAGTCTTTTAACTAAACTACTAGTAATAATACTGATAGTAGCTCCTGAGTCAAGAATAGCTTGTATATTCTGATGATTTATTTGTATATTACATCGGACAGCAGTTGTAGGAGTTTTATCATGATTATCATCACTAATATATTCGTCATCTATTCCAATATTATTAGTTTCTTTAACAATAGCTCTTTTTAACGCATTAGCTAAGTTTCTTCTTTGATCTGGGTATTTTAACCATTGGCCAAATTTTGCAGAAGAAGGTAAGTTAAGAATATCTTCAGCAACATTATATGAGGCAAGTTGATCAACAGCAGAAGGTGTGCGAGGAATCTTTTTTCGAGGTGTTTTAGGAGTTGGTCTTGGAGTAATAATTTCTTCTCCATTTTCATTAAATATTGGATCAATTATGGGGATTCTAGTTGATTTATCCACATTTTTATTTCTTAATCTTATTTCAGGTCGAGATTCAATTGCTTTTCTAATCCTATCCTTTGCATCCTTTCTGTTAGTATTATAAGGGGCAACTCTAACTCTAGGAGTAGCATAAACTTCCTCATATTTTTCTTGTTCTTCCTCTGAGTCCAAATCAGAATATAATTCAACCATATTAGCATCCCTTCTTTTCTGTTGAGTTCCATTACATTCTTTAGCGTAATGACCTTTCTTTTGACATTTAAAACAAGTGATTTGGGATTTATCAAACTTTGTATTAGGAGTCCTAGGTTTTAACTGGGTTTGGGCACTTAAAGCAGAAACAATATTAGCATAATTAAGAGTGAGCTTTTCCATTTGTTTTGCAAGTGCTTCCATTGCATTGTCATTAGAACTTTTGGTTTTTCTTTCAATTTGTCTTTCATGTCTTTCAGCTTGTCTTTCAAAATAAAATCCAGCTTCATAATCAATGGCTTCTTGAATTGCGTTATTAATAGTCTCAGGTTTTTGTGCTGCAACCCATCTGACGAGATCTTTTCGAAGTCCTTTCAAAAATAATCTAATAACATATGAATCAGGTAAATTTCCATTTAGATCTACTTTCTTTTTAAGTCTTCTAAATCAATTAGCGTAGGATTCTACTTTTTCATCTTTTCCTTGTAGAATTTCATTTAGTTCATAATGCCATTTATTCTGTTGTTCGATGGTAGAAAAATGATTCAAGAATTGGAATACAAAAGAGTTAGGTTCAGATTGATTATTATCAGCTTGATTATCATTATCTTCTTCAAATTCTTCTGGATCTTTCCAACTTTGAAAGTCGGTACCTTTATACCAATCAGCTGCCATTCCTTCAAGAAATCCACCAACTATTTCTAAAGCTCTTTCTGAAGTCCAATTATTTGCTTTAGCAGCTTTTTCAAAGTGAATAAGCCAATCATTTGGATCCTCATCAGTTTTT